ATATCTGATCATACTTATTAGTGGGTTCAGATGGTGAGCACTTTATACTTGATTAACGTGGTTAGATGTACATACTCTGCATGTCTTCCATGCATGTTTGCACTTTAACATTAATGTATCTTTCTATTTATTCATATAATTTTTTTTATCTTAAAAAAACAAAACAAAAAAAACTTACACAGTAAAAGTAAGCCTTAAAGGTATTTTCTTTTCTCTCACTAAACACAGATTGTGGTGAACTAAAAAAAACACTACAAAATTAGCTCCCAATGTAGAATTTAACCAGTTTAGCTATTGAGACAACTGAGCTGTTGTAACCTCAATTTTGCTAATTGGTCTTCAATTAACACAGTGATTTAGTGCATAGACTCCACCGGGTTTATCCCTATACCTCGAACCTCCCTTGCGCTGCTTACTGATGCCAGAGCTGGAGTGACGTCATTGTGAATTCATCATTCAATTGTAAATTTAAAGGGACACAACCTTCAAAATAAAATTATACTGCCAGAAAAAAAAAAGCTATTTTCCTGGCACTAGAGTGCACCCTTCCCTCACAGTCGTGCAGAAAGGGGTAAAAGTCAGCTGATGGGGGAGACCTAATGAGCATGCGCAGCAATTACTGCATTTTGCATTAGGATTGCCCATAGGAATTATTGTTCAATGCTTTCCTATGAAGATTCCGGTGACGCTGGAAGTCCTCATGCATAGCATGAGGACGTCCAATGTCAGGCGATCAAAAGTTGGCTAAAGATCTGGAAGTCCCTCTAGTGCCTGTCTAGTAGACGATAACAAGAGGAGTTAACCCATAATGGTACTTATTGCCGTTTATAAAGAAACTGCAATAATTACATTTGCAGGGTTGAGGAGCCTGCGACAGTGAACGCAGACCACATCAATGAGCTGAAGTGGTCGGCATGCCTATATCCGCCAGGTGCCACCAATCACTTCCGCCATGACAGCCCGAAGCATTATTTGCTAAACTAAGCAGGGTGGTGCAGGGCTAAGCTTATTGCTATTAGTGATCATCAGACGCTCTCAATCAATTAGCTAGCATGGTAGGGTTTAAGTTAGATCAAACTAAAGCTCGTAGGAGGAACGTCCAGCTCTCAATGAAGGAAATGGATGGTGCTTGCCGAACCCCAGGTAAGACGTCAAATGGTTTGACTACTTGCATTAGGGTAGTGCCAATGTATTGATGGCATCATAACTTCTACAGCATACTGATGAGAGCTTGTTTTCAATGTTATTTAGCATTTTGAGTGCATGAATGTTTTGTAGTGTGGCAGCAATTGGACAAATCCATGTTCACACTGTCCTGGATTTAAAATCACAGGACAAATAAGTAAGTCTTTCTTTTCCCAACACACGTATTCTATTTGTAATCAGAAACAAACAAAACTCTGCTAACTTCATTATTGTGACTCTAGATAAATCTGCATTTGTAAGGGCTAGGAGGGTGACAACTGTATTCAAAGCCACACTCAGTAACGTAATTAAAGCAATACAATTGAGTAACTACAGGGGTGCTTGCTTTGTCAGCAGGCTTTCAGACACTTCTCTAGAAGTTTTGCTCAAGGCAGCGCATAATCCTTTGCTAGTCTCGCATGAGCTATGTGGCTTGAATAGCCAAGATAGATTGTTTGAGAGGAAGAGACCTTTCTCTATACAGGGTGCGATGCCCTAAGTGAAATTAGTCGATAGAATTTCTGCTCATCTCGTCCTGTGAAGCCTACTGTTAAGTTGATTTTGGTAATATGGCAATGATTATTTTTAGGACTCATTTCCAATTTTTCTTGATGGCAGTGTTTTATTTTTTTACCCCTCTTTTTCTTCCTAGTTTTCAATGGCTCCCTCCTTCCCTTGTGGTCCTGCAAAAACCGCATCAGGTAATGTGCGCATTGACCTATCTGCCATATTGGCTATTGTAGGGAAATGTGTGAAATTTGGCATCAAGAACCATTTTTTATTTATTTAAACCACAACATCACAATAATAAACTTAGAATACTGTAGAATAAGGGCCCTCTGAAAGATGTGTACTGAAACTACACATAAAGGGTTACTCATTAAAGTGAGAATTCAGAGTGAATTCAAGTAGAATTAAGATTTAAGTTCAAAATAGCTGAAATCAGTGGCGTACACATAATCCATGGGGCCCCGGTGCAAAAATTGATCCGTGGGCACCCTCCCCACCCCCCGGTGCTTACTCTGCGTGGGCCGGGGCTGCTACACATGGTGGCGAGCACCGCGGTATGTACGCCAGTGCATGCAGATACACATACTTAAAGGACCACTATAGGCACTGAGACCACTTCAGCTCAATGAGTGCTCAAAGTGCCAGGTCCCTCTAGTTTTAACCCTGCAGCTGAAAACATAGTTTGAATGCGCACATGGCTCTTGTTGCGCATTCGGAGCTGAGAGGCGGATTGGGCGGAGAGATCCCCAGCGCCAAGGGAGCCCGGCACTGGAGAAAGGTAAGTGCTGAAGGTGTTTTAACTACACACACACTCATGAACAGATGCATACACACTAGCTAACAGACACATACTCACAGACAGACAGACATACTCTCTGACAGACACACACTTTTTTTTTGTATTTAATCCCCCAGCCTCCCTACCTTTGGGAGTGCTGAGGGAATTCCAGATTTCCCAGGGGTCCAGTGGGGCTGCTGGGCGGCCGGTCCTGCAGGTGGCGAGGGAGCACTGATCCTCCTGTTCAGCTCCCTCGCACTGCTTACTGATGCCGGAGCCGGAATGACGTCATATTCTGGCTCCGGCATCACTGCGGTGCGCTCAAGGAAGATGGGGAGAATGCTCCCTCGCGCGCCCGCCCACCATGTAACGCCACTGCCAGCCTCTGGGGCCCTGAGGCGGCCAGCTCCTAGGCCCCCCCCCAGGAGAAGAGGCTGGCAAAATGTGGCCACACTGGCGTACATATTGTGGTCGCTGGATGGCCGGGCTTGGTCGCAGCTGCGACCGCGGTATGTACGCCAGTGGCTGAAATGGAAAAATTCCCCAAGTCAGCCGTGCTTGCAAGCTGTTCTCACAACTGTTCAGAATGATTGTGGTTTTAGTCCACACAACCTGGACTGTATAGGTCTCTAAATCCCATAACCTGAAGCCTAACCTTGAAGTTTCTGTTGTAACGGTGTCATTATGGTACTTGCCATTTTGAATTTTTTACCTTGTTAAACGAACTGTATGGTCACCTATAACAACGTAATCGTTATCCCTAAAGGTTGCTCTTCAGCTCCAATCTACTTTTTCAGCAGCATCGAGCTTCAATTGTGACTTTAGGAAGCACGAAGTGCCGCCAAGCAGCGGTGCCACTGATTGGCTTAGATCATTAGCTGACCTCTGTAGCCAATCAGTAGCTCTTCACTCATAAAAAAAGTACATTAAAACCTTTAAGATACCACAGTCGTTTATGAAAGATTAGGCACCTTAATCCCCATTTTAATTCTCTATATTGCGAGACTGTTCTGTCGAAGCTCAAAAACAGTTTCAGCAACATATTGTCCGTCTAGCTACGTTGTAGCAAGAACAATAAACATTAGATGCAAACTAAGAGCTAAACAAGACATACTACACTCCACAAGGCTGTGCTAGATTAAACCTATATTTGTTGGAGTAGCTGACGTATCTATGCAGCTGCCAAGAGTTTTAAACAGCCAATGCAAGCAGCTGCAATTTGTAGTGTGGATACCGTGCTCCTGAATCCTATAGGACACAGAAAATATCCCACATGCACAGTCTCACACGCGGGAGCAGGAGTGGGCCCAGCTTAGCACGCATAGATCTGACTCCTAAAATAGGATGCATTCTAATATCACTGGATCTTCATAGCATTTACTGGGAATGAGGAACTATTGCTTGCAAAGTAAAGGAAGTTCCACTTTATCAACAGACTATTACTCGATCAGCTATTAAAATACCCAGATCAAATGAAACGGGTATAATTCTTTTTTTTTTTATTTTGTCAATCTTTTATTAAGGCACATATGAAGGGTACAGAATAGAAACAGGGGAAATGCATGGGTAGTCCACAGAATAGGGTTAAAGGACCACTATAGTGCCAGGAAAACATACTCGTTTTCCTGGCACTATAGTGCCCTGAGGGTGCCCCCACCCTCAGGGTCCCCCTCCCGCTGGGCTCTGGAAAGGGGAAAAGGGGTTAAACTTACCTTTTTCCAGCGCTGGGCGGGGAGCTCTCCTCCTCCGATCCTCCTCCTGGGCTGAATGCGCACGCGCGGCAAGAGCTGCGCGCGCATTCAGCCCGTCGCATAGGAAAGCATTTACAATGCTTTCCTATGGACGCTTGCGTGCTCTCACTGAAAATCACAGTGAGAAGCACGCAAGCGCCTCTAGTGGCTGTCAATGAGACAGCCACTAGAGGATTAGGGGGAAGGCTTAACCCATTAATAAACATAGCAGTTTCTCTGAAACTGCTATGTTTATAAAAAAAATAGGTTAACCCTAGCTGGACCAGGCACCCAGACCACTTCATTAAGCTGAAGTGGTCTGGGTGCCTAGAGTGGTCCTTTAACACAGCGAAAACATTGTTGATTACATTTCCAGAATATTAACGCCTCATTTTTTTTATATTTTTGTAAGTCGCTTAACGGAAACATATTGTAAACAAGCTGAGTTAAGATGCTATATGACAAGTGTGACTTTTCCAATGTAACTTATGATTTAAGTACATACAGGCTGAACAATACAAGCTAAGACTGGCATGTAAAATCAAATTAAACAAGCCCAGCAGTATTCTGCCTAGTACTAGTAATGATTGCAGACTTAATGTCTCGTGTTATTACAGTGTACATAATCTGTGTTATCATATATGAGACATGTTATGCTATGATAGGCCGCTTATATAGCGCGTTCCAATATGCTATTAACTTTCAGCATTTCTAGTGGGTTTTTACTATATGAGTGTGTCTAGTGTAAAATAACTAGGTAAATGAGCAGGTGTGGATGCATCACAGTGTCCAACAATTTAAGTCCTGCAAAGTAACCAGGCCGGGGTGGCCGCAGATCTCAGCCGATGCCTCTGGTGTGTTTCTCTGGGTAAGCCCAGTTGTAGCTTCACATTGTGTGGGTCGTTGTGTGACCGGTGGCTCTCCATGTGCCCCATGGTGCGCCGGGATTGCCATGCTGCTACTGTGAGTCCAAAGACCGCCGGGAGGTGAGTGCTTGCCAAGCTTGGGTCTTGCGCCCGGTTTCGGTCGCGATGGTGCGGAGCTTCGTCGGTCTGGGTGGCGGGAATCCTCCCTTGCCCCGGGGTTGTAGAAGAGCCGGTGCACGTAGGCCACGAGCCTGTGTGGTCCAGGGTTGCCCCTTGAGGGGTGGTGCGGGGAGATTCAGGTAGTCGCTTACGTGGTCCCTGAACTGCTCTCTGCCAGTGTGGCTGGTACCTTCGGGTTATACCCTGTGTTGCTCTCAGCCCGGGAGGACCTTGGATGTAGGACGCTGGGGTGTGGGTTGCGAAGTTGCCCTGGTAGGTGTCCCCGGTCCTCTGTCCGCCTTTGGCTCCGACCCTCCCGGTCTTTTTTTGGCGCAGGGTTTCAGGCTGCAGGCAAGCCTCTAATTTTACCCAGAAGCTGTCAAAGATTGTAGCTATAGAGTCTCTTATGCAGTCTTTGGTTACTGCTGTTAGTTTGGTGCCATCGCTTAACACTCTTGTGTCAGGGTGTTCCACCATCTTGTGGGCTTCCGCCTCCATTTTGTATAGGGGGTTCGCTGTATCCATCGTTTGATGTGGAGGTCGGAGCACCCTGGAAACGGGTATAATTATGTTGCATTTAACTTTATGGAAGAACATGTAAAATAATAACAGAATGGGTTTTTATTTTCCGTTAATGCTTGTTTATGGGAGAAATGGCTCAGGAGAAGTTGGTAAAATACGTATTGTGTGACCAGGACAGCCAGATATGCAATGTGAAATATAAATAAATAAATAAAAACAGTACGGAATTAAAAATAACTAAAAATCCCTTAACTTATAGCTAACTTTTACGTAGCAATTAAACTTTACACAAACCAGCATGTGAAGGTTCAACTTTCAGCATGAATGAATATATTTTATTTAGAAAGGGTAAACCTGTATTGATTTGGTACAGCGACTTCGCTTATCAGTCTGTCATTGTGCTGTGCACAAACTGCACACGAGCCTACATGTAACTTTTGAAGTACCATATATTTTTCTCAATTTGAGAGACTTGACGGGAGTAGGAGAAAGCACAAGATAAACTCTAGATTAGGGCTGTTTAAAAGGTAGATCCCCAGATGTTGTAAAACTACAACTTCCATGATTCCTTTTTTGCCTTTAGAATGCTTTAGAATGGCAACGCTTCATGCAGGGATGTACATTTTGAGCATCCATGCTCTAGTCTAGATCAATGTATTATTTTGTAGATGTTCCTTTACCTTATGGGCTGCTCTTTCTGGTTGCAACATCACAATGTTAACCGGTTTTCCCTGTAACTTTACGGATGGATGAGGTAGTGAGCAGGCAAACGAGGGCAGCTGTAATTGCTGCAAATAGACCAAACAGATGCTGCGATGACCCAACAGAAAGATTCTCATAGAGAAACAGACTAATGCATCCCTATGCAAGCTCTCACTTCCACTTCAACAAACTCATGTAGAATGGATCTGAGAGCTCTCCTAGCTGTCAGCGTGATGGCTAGGGGGCATTCCTGAACCAATTCAGCAATGTGCCGATTTCTTTTGGGCACTCAGGCAAATAGGCACGTTTATGAATTTGGACAAGGGAACCTTCCTAATCACCCCTAGAGCATTTCAGCAAGTTAAAGTACTTTAGGTACATGGAGCTTCCCTTTAACACTGTGGTGTCCAAAAGGTAGATCCCCAGGTGTCTTAAAACTACAGCTTCCATGACGCTGTCATTTTAAAGGAATGTAAAGCATCATGGGAGTTGTAGTTCTACAACATCTGGAGCACTACCTGTTGGGCTCCCCTGCTTTAACGAATAATCCTGGAAATGTGGATTGTTGGGAATTAAAAACTTTACCGCAAAATAGCCAAACTAAGCACACATGACTTTTTTAATTTGGCTATTCTGTACTAAAACTTTAAATTTCTCTTACACTTTAGTGAGTAATACTGTATTTTTCTGTACATGCATACACCAGAAATATCTTCCCACACAGACACAACACTGCCACTTCTTGCATGTAAAATAAATATCTGGGTTAGAGATCTCTTGCTTCTCGCAGACAGCAGAGCTTCCCTCTTCTGGAACAGATACTACACACAAATTCTCGTCAAACAGATACAACCAACTCATTTTAGATGCACTTTAATTTCAGACACCACATTCCATCACTGTTCTCGTATGGAATAAGCACTGTTGCAATACGCTTTTATAGTCACTACCTAAATCAAATTGTCATCCAGACACACCGTTCATTCAAATATCAGAAGGGCACCAAGCTGTTCACAGATCTTTCGCTCTCTCTTGCACACACCAGATGTGTGTACTGATACCAATACACGTTTCTTCCTGTTCACCATTCATTTACTTTACTCTTAAGCATTTGACTAGTGCATCGAGCACACAGAAAACCATAGCAGTATATGTCCGCATATTGAGATACATAACACAATATAAGTAAGACTGGTTAATAGACATCTCCTTTTGTAAGGTAATAACCGGATTGTCTATTAATTGGTTGCTAAACAGTTTAGGTTAGAGTTATCATATAAAGAATATAAAACTTGTAGGTTAACTACTTGAGACAGCTGAAGTGAATACAAACTTAGTGTAGCTATAACGTTACTTGTTTATATCTTACTAAATGATAGTCGGAGCTAGGCCAGAGTAGCCAAACTGGAAGCGTGGCTGACTTAGAGAATCTCTCCAGCTTGTCTAGTTTTACCTTACATTTGGATTTCACTTTGAATTCTCACTTTACTGAATAAATCTGTTGGTAAACAGCTCTCTGAAACTTCAGAGAAAACGGTCTAACCTATTTGACTGTAATCTACAAATACATTTCAGTCCCGGAGACAAGGTGTGTTTAGGAATTACTGGGTGAAATGGAGGGAATAGATGACTATGGTTTGGGAAGATTGTTTCACTCCATCGATGGGGTTATATTATTTTACTGGCAGACACAAAGATCGGTAGTTTGAGATTTTCCTGTAGCTTCCAGGAAAAAACAAACCACTGTCCCTTTTACCTGTCTGGAAGTCAATGATGGTTTGCTTAAAGGGACACAATAGTCACCTGAACAACTTTAGCTTAATGAAGCCGTTTTGGTGTATAGAAGATGCCCCTGCAGCCTCACTGCTCAATCCTCTGCCATTTAGGAGTTAAATCCCTTTGTTTATGAACCTTAGTCACACCTCCCTGCATGTGACTTGCACAGCCTTCCATAAGCCCTATTTAGGCTTTCTTTATTGCAAGTTTTTTGTTTAATTAAGATTTTCTTATCCCCTGCTATGTTAATAGCTTGCTAGACCCTGCAAGAGCCTCCTGTATGTGATTAAAGTTCAATTTAGATATTGAGATACAATTATTTAAGGTAAATTACATCTGTTTGAAAGTGAAACCAGTTTTTTTTTTTCCATGCAGGCTCTGTCAATCATAGCCAAGGGAGGTGTGGCTAGGGCTGCATAAACAGAAACAAAGTGATTTAACTCCTAAATGACAGTGAATCGAGCAGTGAAATTGCAGGGGAATGATCTATACACTAAAACTGCTTTATTTAGCAGTTTGTATATGGGATATTGGTCTTGTTCTAAATTATATTTTAGTTGCATAAATTCTTATTAGTAATTCACGTAAAATTTCTTAGAACAGCCCTGCCACTGGTCACACCACTAAAATCAAAATGTCCCTTTTTGTCCATTTGCAATGTTGGGAGGCAAGTCATAAGAACTTTGCATTACTGTAAAGTTGATGAGGCAGATAATACCCTGCCTGCACTTTCAGCTCTTAAACTGGTTATTAGACATTTTCCCAGGCTCTGGCACAGATTGTTTTACTTTCCCATTGGCTATGCCATCTTTGTCCAATTTGTGCATGCTAAATCTGGTAAAGCACATGGTCAATATAAGTGTCTCTCTCCTCCATTAAAGGACCACTATAGTGCCAGGAAAACACTTTTTTTTTTTCTGGCACTATAGTGCCCTGAGGGTGCCCCCACCCTCAGGGTCCCCCTCCCACCGGGCTCTAGGGTGAGGGCGCACATTCAGCCGGGCAGGGAGCTCTCCTCCTCCTCTCCGGCTGAATGTGCATGCGCAGCAGGAGCCGCGTGCGCATTCATCCAGTCCATAGGAAAGCATTCACAATGCTTTCCTATGGACGCTGGCGTCTTCTCACTCTGAAAATCAGTGAGAAGCGCAGAAGCCCTAAACTTACCTTTTTCAAGCGCTGGGCGGGGAGCTCTCTGCCTCCTCTCCTCCTCCGATCCGCCCCGTCGGCTGAATGCGCACGCGCGGCAAGAGCTGCGCGCGCATTCAGCCGGTAGCATAGGAAAGCATTCATAATGCTTTCCTATGGACTCTTGCGTGCTCTCACTGTGATTTTTCACAGTGAGAAGCACGCAAGCGCCTCTAGCGGCTGTCAATGAGACAGCCACTAGAGGATTTGGAGGAAGGCTTAACCCATTGATAAACATAGCAGTTTCTCTGAAACTGTTTATAGAAAAAAGGGTTAACCCCTTAAGGACCGAGGACGGTTCAGGACCGTCATCGGCATTTTTGCGTTGCCGACCGATGACGGTCCTGAACCGTCCAAACGGTCTGGGGCTACTTACCTGATCGCCGTCGTTCCCCCGGCGGCGATCAGTGTTCCTTCGGTTGTGGGGAGACTGCCTGCAGCCCAGACAGTCTCCCCACGGCAGATTAGGACCCCTGTGGCCATGTGATCGCTTAACACAGCGATCACATGGTCACAATAGGTGTCCATGTGTCTGCCTGCAGGGGGACTGTCTGTACTGACAGGCAGTCTCCCTGCAACTGTAAAATCAGAATAAAAATTAAAGTTAATGGTAATAAAAAAAATAATAATAATTATATATGTATAAATATGATATATAGACATATATTATATCTATATAATATATGTCTATATATCATATAATGTCATACTAAGTGTATTTTTATATTAATATGTACTTATATTAATATAAAAATACACTTATAATTAAATTACACACGTGTATATATATAATATATATAATAACTATATATATTGTATATATATATTATTATAAAATATAAATAATAAGTAATTTAAATTAAATAATTTTTTTAAAAAATAATAATAAAAAATTTAAAAAAAATTATATAGCTATATGAAATTTTATTCTAACTGTATTTTAAAATTAATATATATATATTTATATCAAAATACACTTAGAATGAATTTGTATATATATCTATGTATATAAAAATAAATACAAATAATAAGAAATATACATACGTCCATATACAAAATTACATAAATAATTATATAAATATACACGTAGACTTCAAATATATAAATATGCATATATATTTAAATTCTACGTGCGTATTTATGTAATATTTTTACATAATTCAGTAATTTTATTGATTGCAATTTGAGGGACCTGCCTGCCAACCCAGGCCGAAATTCCAGAGAATTTAATTTGCTAGCACTGTATTTTACCCTGTAACGTTCTACGACACCCTAAAACCTGTACATGGGGGGTACTGTTTTACTCGGGAGACTTCGCTGAACACAAATATTAGTGATTCACAACAGTAAAACATATCACAGCGATGATATTGTCAGTGAAAGTTACTTTTTTGCATTTTTCACACACAAACAGCACTTTTACTGATGATATAATTGTTGTGATACGTTTTCCAGTTTTTAAACACTAATATTTGTGTTCAGCGATGTCTCCCGAGTAAAACAGTACCCCCCATGTACAGGTTTTATAGCATTTTTGAAAGTTACAAGGTCAAATATATGGGTCAAATATTTTTACATTGAAAATGGCCAGGTTGGTTACGTTGCCTTTGAGAGCGTATGGTAGCCCAGGAATGAGAATTACCCCCATGATGGCATACCATTTGCAAAAGAAGACAACCCAAGGTATTGCAAATGGGGTATGTCCAGTCTTTTTTAGTAACCACTTGGTCACAAACACTGGCCAAAATTAGCGTTCAATTTAGTTTTTTTACTTTTTTCACACACAAACAAATATGAATGCTTACTTTGGCCAGTGTTTTCGACTAAGTGGCTACTAAAAAAGACTGGACATACCCCATATTGAATACCCTGGGTTGTCTACTTTAAAAAAAATATGTACATGTGGGGTGTTATTCAGAGATTTATGACAGATAATAGTGTTACAATGTCACTATTGATAAATTTTAAAAATGTATGTTTTTAAACCGCAATATCCTACTTGTACCTATAGCCCTATAACATGCAAAAAAAAGCAAAAAAGCACGTAAACACTCGGTATTTTTAAACTCAGGACAAAATTTTGAATCTATTTAGCAGTTTTTTTCATTCGCTTTTGTAGATGAGTAAAAGATTTTTCAAGTAAAAGTCAAAAACATGTATTTTTTTCAATTTTTCATCAGATTTTTGTATTTTTTTTAAATTAAAATACATGAGATTATATAAATAATGGTATGTAAAGAAAGCCCATTTTGTCCTGAAAAAAACAATATATAATTTGTATGGGAACAGTAAATGAGAAAGCGAAAATTACAGCCAAACACAAACACCACAAAAGTGTAAAAATATTCCTGGGCGCAAATGTACAACATCGCAAAAACAGTCCAGTCCTTAAGGGGTTAAACCTAGCTGGACCTGGCACCCAGACCACTTCATTAAGCTGAAGCGGCCTGGGTGCCTATAGTGGTCCTTTAAGAGAGCAGAGCTGCCCACAGCTCAGATCTGTTTTATATGTAGTTTTGTGAACTGTCTTTGTATGGCTTCTATCAGTTAACTGAACAATTCCACCAATCCCAACCTGTAGGATAAATGGAACTGCGATTAAATTATTGATTGAATTATTTACCCCCCTGCTGTACAAGGATAAGATCAGACCTTACAAATCACAACAGACTCCTGATTAGTGGAGCCTCTCCTACTAGCCTGGAAAGTTTCTGCCTAAACTTCAGGTATTTTGGAAGGTACATTTCTAATTCTTTAATTTTAAATTATTAAATAATAATGTAGTAAATAGTTTTTTTGTTTTTTTTTTACCATTAATTGCCTTTAACTAAGGCAGTTTGCAATATTTCCCTAATTGATGGATATCTCTCATGCAGCATTGGATGCTTCATACTTTAGTTCAAAATTTACCAATGCAGTATACTGCAGGGCAGTACTTTTCAGGCACCGCCCAACAGCATGTTTATATTTCAGCCACCCTAGGGGATGCTATCTACAGCAAGTTATTTTATTATTTATTTAGCGCCATCAGATTCCGTAGCCCTGTACAATGGGATTACCCAAAATACTGCAATCCCCACCAGATAATTCCTGCCTG